ATGGCTTAGTAGATGAGAATGTCTCCACTAACGAGGACTGATCAACTGACGACGATGTCGCAACTAACAAAGATGACTTAGCTGATGACGACAGCTCCGATGAGGATGACGTGTCTTCGGTCTGCACCAGGGACAGCAGGCCCGACTGAGCCAACCAGGCAGGGGTGAAGTTTGCCACAGGCTGGACATTAGACATGCCTTCAAGGATAGACGTCTTTTCCCCTTTCTTAGAACCTGGAATATGCAGGAAATGAAAGGTTGTATTTTAAAGAGCCGAGTTTAAAGTAGGAATTGACCATGACTGGAAAGATATAAACAGCCAGTCTCCTAAATAATCTTAACTGTCCCAACTCAGTCATGAAACATAAATCAGTGAAACTAGATACTGGACTCCACTGTTAACTCGTACCAGTCGTACTATATTCCCTGCTTTAGCATGTCAAGTTAAGTTTGAAATATGAATACGTTGGCATTTTCCATTGAAGTGAGCTTAAAAAAAAAGTCGACAGGTTGAGATCGAGGGGCATAAACGTGAACGTAATGAAATCAAGTGAAAATGCAATTAAATCATGTTTAGTAAACAAAACCACACAACCAGGGTACGCAGTTTACTCACCTTTTGCAACATCTTGTTTGAGTACCGCGCGGCTAGATCTAGGTCTCTTGCCTGTTTCAGTCAGGTGCGTTAGAGGTCAGTGTTTGGAGGAGACAGGATGGGAGAGAGAGAGAGAGAGAGACAGCAAAGATTGTTTTTCCGTAAATGAACATAGCTACCTTTCATAGAGAAGAGGGGGGGGGGGACTTAAACATTATGTGTATAGAAGTCTAGTGTAAACCTGACATCTGGTGATGAAACAAACAATCAAAACAGCACTCACCCCCGCCCAGTAAAATAACTAAAACGATGATGCTCACAGTAGATCTGTTATATATAGTCAAACCTGTGCAAAACGAAGAAAGCAAACCATTCACTTCTAAGGTCCAAACTGGGGCTGATCCCAGACTTTAGACTGCCCTTCAAAACGGTTTTTGTTTTCTTTTTAATAAGGGGTGGGTGGTATAAGAAGTGTTTTGATGGGCTTTTGTTTGTTTTTGGGTGCGATTTTAAAATTTTTTATTTATTTATTTATTTATTTATTTATTTATTTATTTTTTTTTTAATTTTTTTTATTTTATTTATTTTATTTTTTTTTGGGGGGGGGGTTGGTTAGCTTTCTTTTTGTTGCTGATTTTGTACAACGGTAAAAGAAACAAAATATTATGTAAGTAAGACGATGAAAACCGAGTGCCATGATAAACACACGAGTCGCCACCACTCCGAACGTCAACGTCCATTGTTACTTTGTTACAGAGTTGGTAAATAAAACAGTGACCAGTCACCTCACACACAGTTTGTGCATGAGTTGTGGGCGGGGTTTATAGATCATGACGGATCACGCTTCCCTCACCAGCAGTTGAACGTTTATTGTTAGTCGGCCTACCCATTGGTCAACTTGGGTAAACATTCATTGGAAGGAGTGACAATAACGAAAGGTGAAGGAATATGACAGCCCAACCACAACATGGGGGGTCAATTCCAAATATTTGACAATGCACCGGGCAATGAGTGACCAGGCCTGGCTACCTGAGGCAGGTATTAATTTGATCATCGGTTGATGAAATAAGGTGGGCGCAGCCGTGTTGGACAAGTGACCGTTTTACACAATTAAATTGTATAACCTCAGACCAAGGTGCCCTATATCCCACAGTATTAAATCCACCCCTCCTCTCGCTCCAATCACAAAAGATGGTAAATTGTGAGCCTAAGACAAACAAAGACCATTTCAAAAAGAGTAATAAAATCAGAATTTAAAAAAGATACAGCCACTGGACAGGTGCGTTTTTCAAAAGATGTTTGTCCTTAATAATGAATAGAATGTTATATTTTATGCTATAGTTTCTCGACACTTTCAACACAGTAGAGGTATGTGTAAATTAAGAGGCGGGAACTCTGATCTTCAGAAGAATGAAGTGTTTCAGATAGGAAACAGCGACGAACGCACCAGAACCTATAGATAACAAAAAACACGACATCCCAAATTAAAATGATGTACGAGAAAACTAATAAGGAAATCAGTAGATCGAAGCAGCATTTCGCTAAGCTACCACACGAATCACGCCAAGGGGCCGACATTGTGTCCTGGCAAAAGACACTTTACACAAATTTTCTTCACTTCACCCACGTGGGCATGGGTGTCCAGCTATAGGCAGGGAATATTTTTGAGTGTTCAAGGGTCTGCTGGGGTAATGATAGCTATAAAGTGCATAGAGCGTGATGTGGAGTGTGGACGTGCCCTTGACGATGATGATGATGATGATGATGATGATGATGATGATGATGATGATGATGATGATGGTATTTATCAAGTGTGTCCCAGAAAGAATATCCATTTATTATCAAAATGACCTGCTGCAAATTCATGAAATGAAAATGTTTTGACTTTAAAAAGAATCAATTCAATGTGTGGTTTCATGATATTTTCAAAACGTTTAAGGTATTTAATTTTTAAAATCTAGAAGCAGATACTCCTACCGTCGTCCTTCCCTAGTATGACCCAGCAAATTTGATAAAGTAGTAGATCTAGTGGAAATTCCTTCCCCAATTTCAAAAAGAACAGTTTCAGATTTGAATCATGGTCATCCACATTCAAAAAGGTAACATCAAAACGGATGAAGCGTCCAAAAAATAGGTAGAAGAATAAACAAATGATAAAAATTGGAAACAAATAAAATAACAACTATAACTTAATAAGAGACCACCCACCGTCTCAAGATCACAATCGAAGAAATCGCCTGAAAACTCAGAAATGAACACAAATGTCTGTGGTGAATAAAACACAGAATAGCAAGACATCTACACTCACTGATAATCAAATCGAGAATGATAATGAAAATCTGAAAACTACTGTCTCGAGCCTCTCTTTGAAGGTACGCTACTTCGCAGTACGTTTCGAAACACAAAAAAACTAAAATTTAACTTCTTGTCGTCAGCTGATTACGCGTCAATAGTTGGTCACGGACATTGCCATGCCCCGAAGCGTACGTCTCGCTCGCCATTCACCCACTGGCCAGGAGGCCGAGGCAGACACGTTTTTTAAAATTTTATTTTACAAAGCACAGCAAGCGTTGTTATATAATTATAAGTTGGGTCACCATCAAACGAAACCTTTGCAGCTTCTTTGCAGACTCAACTGCACTCGATGGCAGTGGCAGCCATTGATCGAATTAATAACGAGAAAGAAACACAAAATTCGACTGGGTTGAGCCTCTCTTTGGAGGTACGCTACTTTGGTGAGTAGTTCGAAACCCAAAGGATGACCAAAATACTTGTTGTCATAATGTTGTCAACAGACTACGCCTGAAACTGCTGACAACTAGAAGGGAATTTTTTGCGAGAGACGAAGAAGGACCACTGACAACAAAAGCAATTAGCCTATTAAGCCGATCGATAGTTGGTGGATATTTGGCCCTTTAATGGGAAGAACACGTTATTTAACCACATGGTACATTCGTTCGAATTGAGAGGTTAAAAATTATATATAAAGTCTCCTCGTTTCCCTTTCCATTTTGAAAAAGAAACAAACAAGCAAAACCAAAATCTGGTTGTCCCCAGCTGCGTCTAAATTAAATGAATTCAATTGAGAGTGTGCACTTAAGCATTAGCTTTGGTTAAGAGGCGCTCTGATCCCCAGTATTGAGGAAACCCCCTGCCCTCTTCCCCATTGGTAATTCAATTACAATCACAAAGGAGGCTCTCAGCTAACAGAAACTGGGCGGGAATTGACAAAACGAGGGCGGGAATTTAAAAAACATGGACCTTCACTGATGCTGAAACCTGTGCAACTGGTCGTAACAGGTGTGTTCACAAAAGGCCCCAGCCAGTCCGACTGATTGTTACGCCAAGTAGTCCTTATACAACCGGGCGGCGTTTTGCTTCTTGTGTTGTACTATTTTTAGCTGACTAGCTGGTTTTCGTTAAGGCTACAGTGGTGTGATTATTGCACACTTTGAAAGCCATTCTTTAAAAAAAATAACAACCCAAGTATATTTATTTACACTTTGCAATCGAACTACAAGCACCCTCCACTCCAGCCCTTCCTAAAATAAGACGAATCTTGTCTGCTGTTGGCATACACAAGATCAACATTGCGTCTACCAGAGAACGTGGGTAGAGTTTGTTCTATTAAAGTTCAAGACGTCACATAGCATAGCATTTGCAGTTTTAAGAATATTAAAGCTGATAAGAGCAGCACTTCGCTAATTTGATAAAATAGTGGTGTACATTTTCCCGCAAATTCAGAATGAAGCGTTTCAGATTTGAATCATGGTCATCCACAGCATAGTTCAGAAAAATGACATCTAACATGACGATGTGGCCAACAAATAGGTAAAGGAATAAACAAAATAAATACTGAAAACTCAGAATTGAACACAAGTGCTTATGATGAATAAAACACAGAATAGCAAGACGTCTACACTCGCTGATAATCCAATCGAGAATAACGAAGAAAATCCAGAAACAACTCGCTCGAGCCTCTCTTTGAAGGTACGCTACTTTGCTGCACGTTTCAAAACACAAAGAAAACTACAATTTTACTGTCTGTCGTCAGCTGATTACGCGCCAATAGTTGGCCCCGGACATTGCCACGCCCCCGAGGCGCACCTCTCGCTCGCCTCTCACCCACAGTGACTGACCAGGAGGCCGAGACAGACATGTTTTTTGTGGCTTTTTTTATTTGACATAGAACGACGAACGTTGTTATGCTTTTTAAAAGTTGGGACAAAACCAGACCAAAAGTCTACAGTAGTATTTTTTTATATTTTTTTTTGCAGATTACAAGTGTTATCGTGACAGCCGTTGATCGAATTGATAATAAGAAAGAAACCAGAAAAATCTACTGGTTCGAGCCTCTCTTTGAAGGTACCTTAATTTGGTGAGCAGTTCGAAACACAAAGGATGA